GGGCACTGAGGCTAGAAGGTGAAGTGCACAATAGCTCTCTTATCTCAAACACCAACCTTAGTTTGGAGCCACAGGGAACAACCTTTAGCTGTCTGCAGCAAGAATAGAATGTAGTTAAATTTTTCTTCCTCCGTTGACTGGAGAGGCCTGGGCATAACTTTTGCCATTATCCACTGTACGGTTTTAGTTTTAATAAATGCCTCAGTGGGCAAAGACTCAAGGTAGCTCTTTCTTCTTTTTATTTTTTTCTTCTAATATTTTAGGGTGGCTCCTTCTTTGTCCTTCCCCAGCTCCCCAGCTGTCCTTTCTTCTATGGTGTGCTACCATTTCCCTGAGTTTTGGTTTCTTTAGAGGTTTCCCTGACATTTTGTACGGGAAGGCGCTCTAGGGCAGGTGCCTTTAATCTTAAGCCACTTCACCCGAAGACTGAAGTGATTTTCCAATTGTCAGGGAACAGAGTCACAGATTTTCCTTGGGTACCTTAGAGACCTGCAGGCTCAGCTGAATTGAATCTCTACAACTGACATTGCAAAGGGCTCAAAAAGAAAACAGAGGGCTAATAACTGATGTAAGAAATAAAACAGAAGTGGGCGGTTTCCAATATCAAAAGTGCCCTAAGAGACTTAAGTTTACTGCATTGCAAACAAACTGCAGGCCCCTGGTCCCTGGCCCCTCCCCTGGCTGATGTCTTCTCCAAATAGAAGGTGGATTCAGATTGGGACACAGGGAGATACAGGGACGAGGGAAGTGGTCACTCCTGACACAAGACTGGAACCAAGGCTTTATATTAGCGGGGGATACATATTTGAATCTCAGCTAGTCACTTCTAGGTGGCAAGGCTTTGGCCCATTACCCTATTAAGATTGTTGAATTCAAATTCAGAAGCACTCTTGGTCTAATCAAAATTGTAAGGGTCATCGCTTCTTTGCAGGGAGGGATGGACACAAGCGAAGTGATTGTGCTGAATTGCTTATGATCGCTTGTTCTCATAGCTGCGAGTGGGAACACCAGTGGTCACGATTCCCTCTGGTCTTTTTTTACATAAGGCTGAAATTGCTTAGGTGTTTTAATCATTGGGGCTAGTGATAGATGGTCCATGTAGCATTCACTGTGACTGAGAGAAGTGAATGGCGTTCGAATAACTATGTCCTGGCCTATACCGATGCAAGAATAAAAAGAAAAGAGGCCAAAAGTCAGGGTCTATTTAAATGAGAAGGATGTGAGCAGACTTAATAGCTAAAACAAGTAGACGGTGACCTGGCTGAATGCCTGGAAAGGGAACTGTCTACTCTGAGGTCCCTGGCTTGTTGTGAAGGTCCTGTGTGGCCTACAGCTTTAGAAGATGGGCTGTTTCTGAGAGATCTCTTTAAAATCCTGTTTGGAGTATCTTGTCAGGTTAACTTTTCATTCTGACAGAATTCTGATCTGCTTTCTTAATTGAGCTCTTAAAAGATGTCAGTACACAAAGAAGAGAGTTTCATTCTGGTATTTCCATACATACTTTGTTCTTGAGCCCCTTTCTCTCTCCTTCCCTCCATCTCTTGCCTCCCTCTCAGTGTTCCTTTCCTTTCCCCCAAGAGCTTGCTTGCTTCATGTTGCACACATTCTGTTAGCCTCTCTCCACCTCCGTGACAGGGCAAGACAGGGTGCGGGTTAACTCATCTCCTGCTCTTGCTGAGGCCATTTCGGGTTTGACTGGAATTTGATCTCCTTGATGGAAAATCCTATGGAAAATTATCTGAGTCTATTTTAGGTGCTTGAGGCCAAGGTGTCCCAGATAATTTATCTTGGCTTCTGTTAAACTGCCTGCTTGTGTAAAACCTCCCCCTCCAGCTAACCTCTTGTCTTAGCTTCTTTTAAACTGCTTGCTTGCACAAAATCTCCCACTGCAACTGCCAAGCAAAATAACATGAGTTGGTTTTTGCCTTTTAAAGCTGTTTGCTCTATACACTTGGGGCTACACTTGGGTCTCACATACCTGAGTGTAGTCCCAGACATGTGGAATAAAGACTTTTAATTGACTGTACTGTATCTGAGTGGTCTTCTTGAGGGGTCTCCCCATTATAGCTCCCCCTTAAGATTTCTTTTTCTCATTTTCATGAACCCTTTCTCTGTTCTGTATCTACGACCTCCACATATATGTATATATGTATTAAAATCTATGATCAAATATGAAGAAAATGCCAAATTTATCTTTCTGAATTTGGCTCCCCCCCCCCCGAACAATAGTTTTCAATTTTATCCGTCTTCATAAAAAATGTTATGATTTAGCTTTTCTTTATGCCTGGATAAAATTCCACTAGGTATATATGCTCCAAATATATTCATCCATTTATTTCCTGATGGACATATAATCTGGTTTTTAATTTCCTAAACATTATGACTGGTGCAGCTACAGATGTGGATGCACAAGTGTCTGGGTGGCAGCCCTATGGTACTACTTCTAAGTCTTTCTTTGCTTTTGGAGACAGGGTTTTACCACATAGCCCTGGCTGGTCTGGACTTTACTACATAGACTGGGCTAGCTTCAAACTCACAGAGATCTGCCTCTCTGCCTTCAAGGGCTGGGAATCAAAGACACATGCTCCTTGGCCCAGCCTTTATTTTTAATTTTTTGAGAAACCTTTTTGTTGACATCTGTAGTAGTTGCTCCATATTGCTTCTCTGATTGTGAAAGAGCCCAAAGACTGACTGTGAAATTTCACTCTTGTATTTGATGTGGACTGTACCTAATAAAATTCATTCCAGTGAGGCCCAAGAACAATATTCCTACATCCTCCCAAGACATGAGCTTTCTTTGTTGAAGACCACGATGAAGAAAGAGGCTGCTTGGGAAGATGCGGGAATACTAGGACAGTGGTCTGGCAATTATGGCTACGTATTGAACACAAATTTTGTGCAATTTCATTATATCTATGCGTGGTAGGGCAGATTCTATTACTAGAGGTGAAATCTCTAATTATGAGACTTCCAGCCAATGATTCATAGGAAATAGCCTATGTACCTTTAGAGTAATGAAGTACACAGTCATATAGATTTATGGAAGTGGTGCTTACCTTTGGTTTAGAAAGTTTAAGGATGTCTTCAAGTTTTGCTGATTTAAATGTGAGGATATTATTCATCAAAAAGAGTTTCAAGGGCAGTGAAGTTTCTGTAGAGATCACACAGTCTTCAGAATTTCAACTGAGTAAGGGATAATACCTTACAGTAGAACTGCATGATGTGTCTTGGTCACTACCGAGATTTTTTTTTTTTAAATTTTCAAGACAGGGTTTCTCTGTGTGCAGCCATGGCCGTCCTGGAACTCACTTTGTAGACCAGGCTGGCCTCAAACTCACAGAGATCCGCCTGCCTCTGCCCTCCTGAGTGCTGGGATTAAAAGTGTGGGCCATCACTGCCTAGCAGGATTTTTTTCCCTTCCTTCCTTCCTTCCTTCCTTCCTTCCTTCCTTCCTTCCTTCCTTCCTTCCTCCCTCCCTTCCTCCCTTCCTTCCTTCCTTCCTTTCTTCCTCCCTTCCACCCAGGTTAAAACAAAATCAGGTAACTTTCAGTGACTGTCAAGGTTGTTGCTTTTGGCAAGGAAATACGGTAGACCACCCTGAAAGCAGACATACAATAGCTAGAAGATATTTTAAAAGTCAATCTAAAAATGGTATAAAGGCTAGTGAGGTCACAGTTCAGCCCACTATTTAGATTTTTCCTAGACTATGTTGTAGGCAGGTTACACATGATCCTCACTTGACCTCAGTGATATTTGTACAGCTTCACAACTAATGTTGACTTGGGAGAGGGACCAGTTTGTCTCTGTTACAATGAGTGACTTCATAGAGACACGTGATATCCTTTGAAGATATCTGATAGCCCCAAGCAACTGCCCTTGGAGGCCCGTGGATTAACTCAGTAAAAGGTCCAACTACACTTCCCCTATTTTTTTCTTTTCAAAGGCAAGGGATGAAACACTGGTACTGTACAATGGAGTCTTTGAATGGCAGAAGAGCTGTGACCTTTATATGGTCAAGGATTATTAATGGGCAAAGATTCTGGTTTGGCACCGAGACCTCTCAGAACATTTTCGTTATTTGCCACATATCCCTTCTTTTCAAATGGGTCTTTATTTTTGTCTGGCTGTCAACCTAAGAAACAGGAGTGCATCACAGAATCCCTGAACTTCTTGTCCATTTTGGTTGTGGGTTCCAACAGAGATGAGACACTTTTCTCCCCTCAAACATCTCAGAGTCATGGGGAATTCATAGGCCATATTTGCTGTCTTGCTGCCACCAAATACATATGTTCTGCCATTGGTGAATTCTTCCATTGTGTAGAGTACTACATTCTTAAGATACCCTTATGAGTGAGTAGCGTTAGTACAAGGTTCTCGAAGGAATTCTGTAGATCTAAATGAAGTACAGAAAGCTTCAGAACTCAGGGAAGACACTCCCGAGGCTCTCTTCCAATAGTAGGGTGATGGATTCTATTACTGCAGACTATCACATAATTTGAAATGAAAAAAGTACCACGAGATAAATTCACCATAGAAGTAGGTAGGGCTCTATCACTTCATAAGGTTGTCCGGCCGCAGTAAATGTTGAAACATATCAAGGCATGGATGTAAGTTTCTGGGCTCTGACACAGTCTGGGGAAGACTGAAACAACATGACTGGAGCGGATCAGAAATCTTCATTTCTTAAGGATCCCACACAAGGACACTTCTGCTTTCTCTGCCCTCTCTCAAAGACCTAGCAATGCTCCTGTCTCTGAGAGAGTTTACCTAGCCCAAGTCAATGCTCCTTTCCTCCGGCCTGAAACCCGCTAAACTTACCAACTCCCTTAGGAATGCTCAAGGGTGATGGTGGTGGGTGTGTGTGTGGAGTGTGCGAGGTGTGTGTGTTTGGGACGGGAAGGCAAGTGCGCGGGTAGCGGACTTTGCCCGTACGCGGAAGCCGAGTCCGGCGGCCTGGGGTATTTTGGGTCCACGGCCGCCCCGTACCGTTCGGGCGGCGCGTTGCATCCTGGGCCTCGGCGTGTAGTTTGTGGGAGCTGTCATGAACCCCGAGAGCTTCGCGGCGGGCGAGCGGCGAGTTTCGCCGGCATACGTGAGGCAGGGCCGCGAGGCTCGGCGCGCGCACGAGCACCTCATCCAGCTGCTTCTAGAGCAGGTATTCCCCTGCCTCGGTGCCCTGGTTCTGCGTCTCCGGGGAGGAGAGGGGAGGGGCGGGGCGGGGCGGCGTGCTCCTCGGTGTCCACGGAATTGCCAAAGTCCGGGTCTTCGCCAGCCTGGGCCGGTTGGGGAAGGCATGGCCGGGAAGGCACGGTGTGTTGTTGGGAAACGCACTCCAGCCGGCAGCTTTCCGCCCCGACCTCTCAGGCGGGCCTTGCTCCTGGCCGCAGTGCTGAACTTCAGTGCCCCCGAAGTTTGAAAACTCCTCACTGAGGGCATCGCCTTGACCGTTCCCTAACTTAACTGGGATTTAAGAATCCTAGCAAACCTAAGTGTCTGGATTCCATCTATTTTCAGTCTCTAGCTTGTAGTCAAATAGAATACGAACGTTCGGTCAGCTGGCAGTTTCTTCATAGTTGCTGAGTCTGTTTTTGATTTGGGGAGTCAACGGACATAACACAAAACACATTAAAAAATTCCGGCCCATCGGTGTGGGGTTTTAGGGAATGATAATTTTCCTGAATATAAATATCTTCACCATTTTTTTTTTAAGGGCAAGTGTCCAGAGGACGGCTGGGATGAAAGCACACTTGAGCTCTTTCTGCATGAGCTTGCAGTCATGGATAGCAACAATTTCTTGGGTAATTGTGGGGTGGGAGAAAGGGAAGGGAGAGTGGCCTCTGCTTTGGTTGCTCGTCGTCATTACAGGTATGTTTCTTATGCCAGTTGTGAGAGCCTTTGGGCCCCTCCCCCAGGTGGAGTGGGAGGAACTTAAAAATGGTTAAGGTATTCATAGTAAATTTGAAATTTTCCACTCACAGTTTCTCCCCTCTTCAAATGGACATGGGAACCAAGTGAAACCAGGAGGTGGGAACACTCCGAGCAGGTGCTTCTCATGCCAGAGTTGAAGTTCTAATATGTGATGGTTTCCCTTTCAGACACTTTATGGTCAACAGTGCTGTGTTCTGATAAATATTTAAACTAGGAAATCTGCTTGGTTCTAAAAGCTTAATATTGTCAATACAAAAAAACACCGAGTTCCTCTCGAGATACTAACAAGTGACAGGTGACACCAAATACCATGTTGTGGTGTGCTGGAGAGATGGCTCTGCTGTTAAGAGCATTGCCTGCTCTTCCAAAGGTCCTGAGTTCAATTCCCAGCAACCACATAGTGGCTCACCATGTTGTGGTGTAACAGTTTCATGAGCTTTTTATAATGAAATAGTTATAGAGCAAAGAAAATACTAAATCATAGACCAAGACTTTTAAAACACACTGGTAGAAATATGGAGGTAGGCCAGTTACAGCAAAGCAAGGCGTTCCTAGTGTAAGTATCAGATAGCCTCTGGGTAGGTGTAATCCACTCCAAGGTCTCTGAACGTTCTGGAAGGATTTCCCTAATAGTCATGGAGGTGACAGCCCCCACACAGGGGAGACATTTTGGTTCTGAACCTGTACCTTGCCAGCTTACCCCAATCATAGAAGTTAAGACATAGAATCATAGAATGTTTAATGCGGGTGAGACTTTTTTTTTTTTAATTTCAGTTGACATAAATCATAGTTGTCTTTCTTTTGACAAGATAGCCTAATTCTCTCTTTGATTTTCAAAGACAAGAGTCTCACTGTGTCACTGTGGCTGTTCGGGAACTCTCTTTGTAGATCATGCTGGCCTTGGATTTATAGAACTCTACCTGCCGCTACCTCCTGAATGGCAGGATTAAAGACATGTGCCCCCACACCCTTCTTAACTTGCAGGTTTCATTGGAGAGTAATGAACTTGAGAGCATAGTTTATCAGTATCTGAATCCCACTTTATAAGTACTTCTTTTTGTTGCAATCGATGGAGGAACGGGTGTATTAGATGATTACATTATTTGCATTCGTTTTGAAAGTTTTTTTTAACCCATCCTGAAAATTGGTTTAATTTTTCTTCCAGACCTGCCTCTTCATCCTGAGTGCCAGAATTTAAGGCATGAGCCACCACCTCCTGCAAAAAGTTAACTTTAATTATTAATTGATAGTGCTTTTGGATATGATTGCTTATTTCCATCTTCTACCCTTTCTGTGAGAAATATTAACTCGTAAAAACATTTTTTTTTGATTTTTAAATCAAAGTACAGTTTTAGAGGCATACTAAAATTTGATTTTAACATGAACTATGATAATGAGTATGGATGTAAGTTTCCTGTCTAACTGCCCTGGTAACTTGGTTCATATATAATATATTAGAAGACTCACATATAAGTGCGCTCATAGGGAGGTACAGCACTAGTGCTCTGTGATCTGCTCCTTATACACACTTTCTGATCTTCTTGACTGTATGAGTTTACAGAAGAATTATTTCTTTATTTTAAAGAACATTCAAAGGCATCTGTCAGTGTGGGTATAGGGCCATCTAAAAGTAGATTTGTACACTCATTTTCAAGAAACATAATTAAAAAAATTAGAACAGTTTTTGCCAAGGGTGGTGGTACTGCCTGTAATCCCAGCACTTAGCAGAAATGGGGAGGGTCTAAAATATAGGGTGGTCAGTGCTACTTAGTGGGATCCCGTCTCAAAAGGCCACTGTCACCACCACCAGCAAATCAGGGCAGTTTCTGAAGCATCCCATTCAGGTCAGAATCTGTCCCGCTGTGGTGGAGGAAGGGAAGAGGGAATAGGATGTTCCCTGTACCATGGTTTTAAATAGATTACTCCAAAGGCTAATGGCTTAAAATGATGACTATTTCTTCAGTTCTGTGTGTTAACTGAGCTCAGCAGCTCAGTGTTTTGGGTGTCTGGTGTAGTTGTCACATGTCAGTTAAGAGTGTAGTTTTGTGGAAGGTTAGAGTCGGCACTCTACTAAAGATGACTTGGTTACGTGGCTGAGGGCTCAGCTTGTCTCTTCCTGTAAGGATTTTGAGAGGCAGTACACACTAGCAAACTCCTCAAGAAGTCTGATGAAGGCTTTAGTGCTTCTTATGACCTTCTAGAACTTAGAGGCTCCAGACAGTAACTTCTGAGTCAACCAAGTCAGTACGAACACCCACATATGGATTTAGACAGGTCTGTTGTATTGTCTGTTGGTGTGGACCAACAGGAAAACAGAGACTGATCTGGTGGTCCTTGGGGATTACTCCACAGTAGTCATTTATGAAGTGTGCTTGCAATAGTGGAAGACTGCCTCTGCTAGTTTTTGGTTATTTAATTGTAAATATGTGTATTAATTACTTGAACACTAAATGTATTTGTACAGTTTTTGGTCCATTTTTTGCTTAGGTTCATCCATGGAATTGGGCGGTCTGGTGATATTTCTGCTGTGCAACCAAAAGCTGCAGGCTCTAGCCTCTTGAACAAAATTACCAATTCTTTGGTGCTTAATGTCATCAAGCTGGCCGGTATGTATCATGTCAATCATAATGTGACTTGTGAGTAGACAGCACACTAGTGTCTTGTATTTATATCTCTTCAAAGCAACATGAATTTGCATTTTTAAAAGTGCACACATGTAAACCTGTTTCAGACAAGACAGAAAACACCCGCAGGGATGACTTTTAACCATGACTTTCATGAGAGCAAATAAGAAAGAGAACCAGGGTTACAGTCCATGTTATTTTATGAACCAAATTTATCATTTCTTCCAGAAGGATGTTGGCTTTTCATTGTTTTGTTTTGTTTATGAGATAATAAATTGCTTTATTTCTTATTTGTAGGTGTTCATTCTGTGGCCAATTGCTTTGTAGTTCCTATGGCAACTGGTATGAGTCTAACCTTGTGTTTCTTAACATTGCGACACAAAAGACCTAAGGCCAAGTATATCATATGGCCGCGAATAGACCAGAAGTCCTGCTATAAGTCCATGGTCACTGCAGGTAAAAGACATACAGCATATGTAATGTTTTAAACATCCATTGGGAAACTCAGATTTTTATATAGAGATAGGTAAATGAAAAATTAAATGTACTCCATATTCATGCTTTAAAGAAATTTTAGTAAAGTATTCATAAAATTTAGCACATACTTTGTTTTAGCAATTTGTAAGCTTATATATACTTACATTTACCATTAAAGTTTGCATAATTATTTGTGGGGTCATCTTTAATTATATGCTAGTTAAGTGCATTATTTCAGTTAAAAATCTGAAGGACTCTTGGGCCATGAGATGGGTCAATGATCTCCAGGTGACTGAAATTTATACTTTTCTTTAGCAGTAAAACACAAAGTTTATGGGTATGATTTATTTATTTTAGCATTTGAATTTTATTATCATTTATGTCTATCTCTGAAAAACGTAAACTCAAGTGAAATTGAAATGTTCCCAGAGAATGAGTAGGCTTCATTCCTTTTTTTTTTTTAAACAGAACTTAACTGGACTAGTAGTCTTTTTGGTTATCAACACCCGAGCAATTAACTTCTGTAGGCTTCTGGTTAACATGTGTTTTCCTTATTTTATAGACTCCATTCCTTTTCATTTCACAGAGCTAAAGATCCAGTCTGTTTGCTGGTTGTTCTTCACACCCTTTTGACTTGTTTCTGATTAATGCCAGTTCTGATTGTCTTAAAGTTTCTTTTGCTGTGAAGAGACATCATGACCACAGAAACTTTTAAAAAGGAAAACATTTAGTTGGGGTGGCTTTCATTTCAGAGGTTTAGTCCATTATCATGCTGCAGCGTGGTGGCGTGCAGACAGACATGGTGCTGAGAAGTAGCTGAAGAAGTGGTCTGAGATACGCTGTGAGGCTTGAGCATAAATAAGACCTCAAAGCCCACCCACAGTGACACACTTCCTCCAACAAGGCCACCGCCTAATAGTGCCACTACTTATGAGCTTATGGGGGCCAATTACATTTAAACAATTATACTGAGCCATCTTTATTACTAGAGGAAAAGCTTGTCAGTGAAATAAATATTTAGAGTTCTTTCGTACAATTGCCTTGCTTCTTAGAGTTCTAGAATCATCTTGCATTTAATTGACACTAATGTTTAGATTTCTGGTTGACTTGTTTAGGTTTTGAACCAGTGGTGATTGAAAATGTTTTGGAAGGCGACGAGCTGCGTACTGACCTGAATGCCGTGGAGGCTAAAGTCCGGGAACTCGGGCCTGATCATATTCTGTGCATTCATTCTACTACATCCTGTTTTGCTCCAAGGGTGCCTGATAGGTAACTGACTTGTGAATATTGGTCTTTTGATGCTCTTTTGAATAAACTTTGTCCACTAATTCCCAAGCACAACGAGATAACACTTGGTAGTGAGTAGTGAATGTACTGGCCTGAGAGAATAAGTCAATTCTAGGGATACTTATTGTAGTGGTTTGGAGAAGTTTGATGCTGAAGGAAAAACAGCTGATGTGAAGGTGGAGATCCCCGTATCCAAATCTTAGTACACCTTATTTGTCTGCTTTCTTGTTCTTGCTGCTTTAAGTCTCTCAGTGTTGTCCTCACTGCTTTAGCCTTTCCAAGTGAATTGCTGGCTTAGTAGTTTTCCCCATCACTATTTCTTTGGCTTTGCAATTCATTTACTAAGTAGGAACGATCGTCACTATAAAGTATTTTAGGATTATTTACATGTCTTTGATTGGGAGATTAAGCTAGATATGTAAAATGGTTGATGATAATATAAATTAGAAAATTAAAACAACGGGGGTGGCAGATGTTCATTTTTCTAAAGGATAGCCACAGTTTTTTTTATTTTTTTTTTATTTTGAAAATGTCATAGGGCTTAAGTTTATTGACAGGAATTTCTGTTTTTGCCAGAAGCTCTGGCTTGTTCTCATTTCAACATCTTTAACAGAAGTGCTAATAATTAATAAGAATTGTGTTGACTTTGGACTCTGGTTGCTAAGCTTTTGTGTTTGTGGACTCATGGTTTGGCAGTGATAGCCACATGTTAACTTTTTATTATTTTACAGGCAAATTTTGAAAGATCATATTGAAACCATACTCTTGAAAATTTGCCTTGGGTCATTTATGAGCCTATGAATTCTGTTTTAAAATTATATTGCATATTCTGTAGTAGTTTATTAATGACCAATCATTTTAAATTTCTTTTTTTTAAGCTTTATTTATTCATACATGTGTGCTGCAGGCCAGAAGAGGGCACCAGATCTCACTATAGATGATTGTGAGCCATCATGTGGTTGCTGGGAATTGAACTCAGGACCTCTAGAAGGACAACCAGTGCTCTTAACCTCTGCGCCATCTCTCCAGGCCTCACTTTAAATTTCTAAGCAGCAAGCATGTGGATGTTTGTATTATCTGAATTATTTTTCTCTGTGGAGTTTTGCTTCATTTTGAGTCATATTTTCAGTGTGTGGCACTGTATTGTTTTACACATATACCTGATAGAAAAGATTCCAGAGAATTTAGTAGTTGGCAAGTTGTCACTTGTTGCTTTTTGTTGTATGATGTAATGATTGCTTTTAATGAGTGAGGTTATGAAAATGGCAGTATAAAGTTAGTGTATTTGATCTTATGATTTTATAATCTTATTTTTAGTGGTATATCATTTATTTTGTTTTTATTGGTCAATTATCAAAAAGTATTGAGTAGGAAACCCATGTAAAAGAAATATTAAAAGGATGTCACTTTTGGTAGCTATTAAAATTAGCTTCTGCTTTAGAATACAGTGGAATTCACATGGAAAATCTGTTTCCTGCTTTTCTTGGCCTTTCATTTAATACCTCTTTTATGTCCTATTAACACATCTGATTAATGTAGATCACTTAAAAGCTACTTACAGGTTTGTCGTATTTTCGATAACTTTAATGTTATGGTATCTTATTTTCAAGAAAGTTATCCTTTCACTAGCACACACGAAAAACATGCCTTTTATCTTCTGAAGAATATATTTATGTGTGTTCTGTAGTAGGAGGTGCAGGCAGGCCTGCTTTTTGTTCTGCCCAGCTCCTGCACTGCTAGCTTTACACCCGAAAATAATAACACTGAAACTGTATTCTTTTAAACACTGCCTGGCCCATTATATCTAGCCTCTTACTGGCTAACTCTCACATCTTGATTAACCCATTTCTAATAATCTGTATAGCATCACGAGGTGGTGGCTTACCGGGAAAGATTCAGCATTTCTGACCTGGCAGCTGGCTCCATTGCTTCTGACCAGAGAGGAGAGGCATGGCGATTGCCTCACTTCCTCCCAGCATTCTGTTCTGTTTATTTCTCCTACCTAATTTTCTGTCCTATCAAAGGGCCAAGGCAGTTTCTTTATTAACCAATGAAATCAACACAAAACAGAAGACCCTTCCACATTAGTGTTCCAATTCTATTTTGTTAGTAACAGAAGAAATCTTGGTATTGATTGTGAGACAGGTGTGTGTGTGTGTATTTGTGTGTGCCCCAATGGTTGATTTTAGGCATCTTCCTCTATTACTCTGCACTTTATTCTTTGAGACAGGGTCTCTCACTGAACCTGCAGCTCCCTGTTTCAGTTCCAGTGGCTAGCACTTGAGCCCCAGCAATCATCCTATCTCTGCCTGCCTGGTGCTGGGATTATAGGCACACACTTCTTAATGTGGGTTTGGGGAATTGAACTCAGGTCCTCATGCTTGCAAGGCAAGCACTTTACTGACTGATTGATCCATGTCTCCATCCCTAAAGATTGTTTTATTCATGTCTTAGTCAGTGTTCTATTGCTGTGAAGAGACACCATGACCACAGCAACTCTTATAAAGGAAAACATTTAATTGGGGTCTTTCTTACAGTTTCAGAGTTTTAGTCCATTATCATCATGAAAGGGAGCATGGTGACATGCAGCTCTAGACCTGGTGCTGGAGCAGTAACTGAGAATTCTATATCTAGATTCGCAGGCAGCAAGAAGAGACACTGGCCTGGCTTGTGCTTCTGAAACCTCAGAGCCCATCCCCAATGACACATCTCCGACAAGGCTACACCTCCTATTCCTTCTCAAGTAATGCTACTCCCTGATGACTAAGCATTCAAATTTATGTGTCTGTGGGCCCATTATCATCCAAACAACAGTTCATAATACTTAAAGGAAGCAAATTGAAAGTTTCTGGCAATGAACGTGATCTTATTCCTGTTTATAGTTTTAAAACATACTTGTTCACATCTAGGAAAAAAGATATCTCATGCATACCACTCCTTTATTTACTTACTTGAGACAGGGTCTTGCTATGTATCTCTGATTGGCGTGGAATTTACTGTATAGAATTAGCTGGCCTCAAGTTCACAGAGATCCATTTGCTTCTGCTTCCCTGTGCCATGTATTTTAAATACCTCCTTTTGGAAAGAAGCATAGAAATGCTTTGCTTCCAAATTCTATTTGTGAAACCAAGCTTCTTTTTAGAAATCAATTTTGTTGCATCACAGTTATAGTTTTGAAGTGTACTGACATTGTTTTATAGGTGACTTTAGTCACAAGTAGTATTGGGTTTTGAGAAGGAACCTCTGCTGTATTGTGGTTCATTACCATATTTAACATAAATTAGACTTTTAAATGTCTTTTTATGAGAGGTGTCAAATGAAAGAGTAAAAAAGGGTAGATTTTAAGCCAACAGTATTTTAAAGGATGTATCCAAGTTGTTAGACAATGTCGGTGAGTTTTGGTACAGGAAGGTTGTAGTTCCCAACCTTCCCCCCCCCTTTTTGTCTTTTTAAAATTAAGGTCTACTTGAAAGTGTATTTTTTTAAATTTTGTGAGATTTCTTAAGGTTTCCAGATATGCTTATTTATTTTCTCAGTACTAGCTTCAGTATTGTGAGTAGTCAAAGCAGTAAGAAGGGGAATCGCAGCCCTTTGTGAAGCATCATCTAATCTCTGTTCTTTGTAAGAAATTTGGAAATTATTGAAAAGTTCCCATTGTAAACTTTCGTTTTGTTTTGTTTTTCTTTGAGACAGGGTCTCACTATGTAGCCTGGCTGGCCTGGGACTTGCTGTGTAGACTAGGCTGACCTCACACTCACAGTGCCTCCGCGTATCAAGTCATAAGCTTTTCAAAATACGTTTTTCCTTCATTTATTAGTAACATTGAAAGGCTTTCTAAGGTTTTCTAAAGTGCTTGCTGTGTATTTCCAGGCTGATGAATTACATGCAAAGATACTACAGAGGGAATTCAGTTTGTCATCCCCTTCTCTCTTTCCCTACCATACTTTAACACTATTGATAAAAACTTTCCATAATTATTATAAAGCACAGTATGAGTATGTCTCTCTGTAAATGTTTATGTTTATAGATTAGAAGAACTGGCTGTGATTTGTGCTAATTATGACATTCCGCATGTAGTCAACAACGCTTATGGATTACAGTCTTCCAAGTGCATGCATCTCATTCAGCAGGTGATTTATTATATTAATATTATATACTATAGGATTATGACTTTTTTTTCTACAGTCTAATACAGTGAAAGTTATTTAACTTTCTCTACTTTGGGGAGCATTACCAGTACTCTCTTGGTAAAAGTCATTGTTCCTTGGTAGTCTAATGGTAATTGAATAGTAACTTTTAAAGATTTGTTTATGCATCTATTTTGTGTATATACATGTGTCTGTATGTGTAAGCGTATGCATACCTATATGTCTCTGTGTGTGTGTGCTTGTTTGTGTAGTTGGGGACAAGAAGAGGGTGTTGAGTATCATTCTATTGTTCTCCTATTTCATCAAGGCGGAGTCGCTCTGAACCTATAGGTTGAATTTTCTCAAGCAGGCCGGAAGTCAGCAAGCCCCAGTGGTCCTCCTGTCTTTACCCTTTTTGGAGCGAGAGTTTTAGGTGTGTGTGAAATGCCTGACCCGTTACATGGGCTCTGGGCTTCAAACTCTGATCCTCATGTTGCACAAGTGTTCTTCCTGGATGAGCATTCATTTCTCCTGCCCCTGGAAATAGCTTTGATGGTCCTGAATCAGCACAGAAAGATTTCAGTAGCATTCTTAACTTTCTGAGATTTTTTTAAACCCTGGATGCTCATTTTTCTAAGGTATTGAATTACATTATTGATGATTATATTTTATATAGAAGAAAAAGAAAACAGGAAGAGTAAGAGTGAACCATGTAAACACATAAACATATTTTCAAATCTTAAAAAAAATACAAAACATTTAAAAATTTTCCAGGATCTAAAGACTCTTTTAGTAGCTGCTGCTCTATGACCTTTACTCATTCACTCCTACCTTTCCTTTGGTGTCTTTTCATCATTCCTTAACTTTTCAAGGTGGCCTCACAGGTCTAGGTGGAGCAGAAGAAAGGGATACAGTGTTCCGTTCTGGAACCGGTGAGAACACTTTATATGGGTGACTCGCTTTTATTGAATTGCACTTCCTTTCCTCTTCTTCTGCTAGTACTTAAGAAAATTACTACATTTATTTGTGTGTGTATTCATGCTCACACATGTGTGCCGTAATATGCATAAGGAGGTCAGAGGACAACTTTTTGGAGTCAGTTCTTTCCTCAACCATGTGGTTCCAGAGTTAGAACCAGGGCTGTCAGGGTTGGTGGTGAGTACCTTTAACCACAGAGTCATCTCACTGCTCCTCCCCCCTTTGTATCTTTAACGCTTTCAAAGTTCAAAAGCATTAGCATCTCTAAAAGTTTATAAAAGGAAGGAGCAGGTGGTCATAGCTATCTTTATTTTTAATCATAGCTATCTTATAAGTACCGCTAGTCATTTGTAATGAATATTTTTCTGTTTTCACATAGTTTTAGATACTGTGTATATTTAACAAAAGACTTTAAGCCTTGTTAGTTGTATGTTTATACTTTCCACATGCCTATATTTGTTTTCACACACATCATTTTAAATATTTATTTATATGTGGGAGAGAGATGGCCTGAGGAGGCCAGAGAGGCATTGCATCCCTTGAAACTGAAACTGGAGTTTAAGGTGTTTGTGAGCTGCACAGGTGGGTGCTGGGGTCGGAGTTCTGCTCTTCCCACTAGAGCAGCTGTGCTCTATCTAACTGCTTAGCTATCTCTGCAGCCTGAGATGAGTCACTTACTCAGATGTTATTCCCTGATTGAGAATTGCTCAGGGTTCTGGGGCTCATAATACTTTTGAACACTTGGAAGTGGAGTGATAGTGGTATACTAATGGAGGGCCAAACTAAGGGGAGCAGTTGTGGAGCTGATGGGAAAGGTATCCTTGGGGCTGCTCTTCCTGGCACACCATTTTGTCGTGTGCTCGTGCATGTACGTGTGTAATGTTTCTCAAATGCAGATGCTGTCTCGTAGGTATTATATTACTTTCTAAAATGGACTTGTCTTTAAGTAGTAAATAAACATTTCTGCAGATTGGCCTACATGAGGAGAGGGCATAGCACTGTTAGTTTACAACATAAATGTGTAAGTCTTGTTGAGTTCTGACTGCTTTTTTGTGACATTCTAAGTAGAGTTAACTTTCACTCAAAACTGTCATAATGCAGACAGCTTACCAAAGACCTACCATGTGTGGTAGGCATCTGGTCAGGCTGTTAATGTTTTAAAACTAATCCTATTAAGTTAAGGTGTATTTTCACTGTTCCTGTTTATATATGAGGAAATATGCTCAGTGGTTTAAGCGTTTGACCTGAGTCTCATAGCTGCTGAGGAAGTTGTATAGCAGTCTGCCACCAGGGCCCCCAGTTTCCCTAAAACAGAACAAAGCCCCAAGAAAGCAGTATCACAGTAACCATGTAATTAGTGAAGAAAACTGTTATACCTGAAATGTCTTAGCACTTTTAAAAGATGTCCCAGTCCTGGTTCTGAGCAGATAAGATTCTCTGTTAGGTATGTGTAATTTCAAGAAGTACACTCCTGGTTCTGTTTGCTGAAATGCCTAATCTGAGATGTTAGGACAGATTAATAGAGGGCACATAGTAGAGCTATGGAAATGTGTGTGGGATTGACTGTTTAGGATGGAAGGTGAAGTTCCAAAGTGTGGGAAGCAGCAACTTCACTTGTTAAGAATTGGTGCAAAGTAGGTGTTACTGCTACTTACCCACACACCCGATTGTTATTTCATTCAGTAGATTTTCTGACTTCCCATTAGTATGTGACTACCACAGAATGTGCTGGGGACACAGCGTTGCAGCCTATTTCCCAGCAGCCTCTGTCCTGCTAGGATTTTCATTTTCTTCCTTAGTGGCCATTTCTGAGTGTTTTTTGTGAAGGAGTGTGCAGTCTTCATGGTGAAAGGATGGGTGTAGCAGTCTGGAGTCTGCTTCCCCTTTCTCAGTCTGCCCACTCCCAGGTCAGGCTCCTGCTCCTCTCAGAAAGCCTAGACAGTATTTCTGGACACTCTCAACCTGGCCCCACTTGCTGTGCTTTCTCTTCACTTATTCTGTTGTTTATGCTGTCCTCTCCTTCTGAGATGGGTTTCTTCTGTTCATTGTCTGCTAGGAAATAAGAGTCCTGGCAAGAGTAAGGCTGAGACAGTCAGCGATGGTCTCTGACTGTCTGTTCCCTTCTGTGGCTTCTACTGCCTCTACCTGTTGCCTGAATCTGGTCTCTCAGATTAGACCAGCTATCTGCAATTTCCATTCTCCCTGAGATACAGAAATGGGGAAGAAGTGTGAAAATGAAGGTCAAATGTGGTTATAATATTAATAGGAATGTAGATTGTGAATACAGATTGAAAATCTGTGGCTGCAGATAAAGAAAAAAACCTCTGAGTTGAAATTTAGATGGTATCTCCTTTTTAAGAGGAGGAAATTGCAGCACATTAGACAGAAGGTCATAGCTGTGTCAGATGGGACAGAACTTGGCTCCACATTTCTGTAGGTCTGTGTTCAGCTCTGGGCTGGGATATTAGACTTCCATTTGAAGTTCATTTGCCTTGAGACCATCTAAGATCACATGTTAAGGATCACAAGTTATGGAGAAACACTGATTTTGGAACTTCCAGGAATATACAGATGATATTGCCATGGTTGATGATAAACATAAAATTTGGGTTTTCTCTTTTGTGATCAGAGCTGTCATGAAAGTAGAGCTTGTTTAAAGGCTGGGCTTGAGCTTTATGCCTGGTCTGTATGAAGCCCCTGGGGTTAATCTCCTGCACTGTAACACAGACAAACCCAAAAGATAAAAAACGTTAGTAGATTTTCCCAAGTATCAGAGAGAGACACTTAATTTTCTAGCTGCTTGGTTGGCACTTTGGGCTGCTGTAGTTTATTAGATTCTGATGCTAGGTATTTAAAACTACTTAATCACCATAGACCTTATAAAAGTCATAGGTGTGGGGCATGGGAGAAATGCTTTGTCTCATACTCAGTTTTAAGGTAAAAAGCTGTTTCAGAGGAATTCCCTCTTGCACTGGTAATGACACCCCACCTGCTTTATGCAGGCTGAGTTTAGTGATTAATCTGTGAAAGCTGATGTCCACTGCAGTGTGCTGGGTGTTGTGTGTGTAATGAGCGCCACCCAAGCTGGAGTTCAGTTTGTAAACCCTGGACTTGCACTGCCACATAGAAAATTTCATCCCTTCACCTGCCTTTAAACAAATGTCTATGCACTGTTTCTCATTTTTACTTTTTAATTAAGGTAAAATTAGCCTTTGTAAATGTGGGAATGAAATTAAATTGTATGTATCTTTTGTATGACATTTTTGTTGTGGCCTTTGCTCTTTAATAGAAGTTGTTGTCTGTCCTAGTGACTGACATGTGACCCGTATGTTGTTTGATTCTAGGGGGCTCGGGTTGGTAGAATCGATGCTTTCGTTCAGAGCTTGGACAAAAATTTTATGGTTCCAGTAGGTGGTGCTATAATTGCTGGCTTTAATGAATCCTTCATTCAGGAAATTAGCAAGATGTATCCAGGTAAATAGATAACTTGTTTTCTGGAAAAATTAACTAATGAACAAAAATATATGTGCATATAGTCTGCTGTGATGAGTTGATTTCTCGAGCCTCCCCATCAGTCCTCCTGCATATGCCCTGTCCCTCTGTTTTCAGGAAGAGCTTCAGCTTCGCCATCCTTAGACGTCCTCATCACCTTGTTGTCACTGGGCTGCAATGGCTACAAGAAACTGTTAAAGGAAAGAAAGGTGAGGTTTGCTCCTTGTTGAATGCCAGTGTTCTAGCCTGTATATCTCACTTATATAGGAGCCACTGTTGGGTTTTTTCCATCTCTTATTTGTCCTGTAGAAGCTAATCATCCCTTCTGTCCAGATATGCTGAGAAATAGTTCAGATGCATTATTTTACTATTAGTATTTGTTATTTAGAAACATCTGTATTGGGAATTATTTGTTCATTTATCACCTAAAGGTAGAGGGGCTCTCCTTTTTTGTTACTCATTTTTATTAAATAATTTTCTTTTGCATTTATTTGTGTGCTCACGTGCATGTGCCATGGCACATGTGTGGGGGTCAGGGTCAGTCTGTGGGTACAGAGATTGGACTCAGGTCATCAGGAGGAGGAGGAGTCGCCTTGCCTTTTACCTGCTTTGCAGGCTTACCAGCTCTGCCTTTTCTTTTAGGACAGGGTCTTGGGAGGCCCTGACTGACTGGAGCTTGCTTTATGTAGACAAAGCAGGCCTCATACAGTGGGCAGTCCTCCAGCCTCTGCTTCCTGAGCAGTGGGGCTACAGGCATCTGTCGCCACTTCTGGCATAGAGGCTCTTGAAAGAGTAATGGAAAAGTTTTCTTTTGAGTGATTTGGAAGCCTGAAGGCTTGTTATGGTATGAAGGACTAGTCCTCGGTGGAAGAGCCAGTAGGAGTCAGCCACCTCCTTATTCTAAAATAATAAATCCCTCCATCATTGCTGAAATGCTGGACTTATGCTGGCCTTGAAAAGAAAAGTTATGAGCTTTGTGGTTCCAGCTACTGAGGAGGCTAAGAAGGAAGATCACTGGAGCCCAGGAAGTTTTGGTCATCATAGTGAGAGCCAGCCTTTTAAAAGAAACTAACAGATGCTTTATTCGTAACAGTTCTCACCTTCCACTGTGAGTACCAGGGACTGAGCTCAGGTTGTCGAGCTTGCACAGCCGACTCAGCCATGCCACTGGTCCCCTGCTTGGTTCATTGTATCCATTCTTTGATGTGCATCAAGTTCATTTGTAGGGATTGTCTCCATTTTGCATATGAAATTGTGATCTGGGAAGATGAGCTTGCAGAAAGATTGACTGGCCACTTTCAAGTCCCAGAACTGCTGGTGAAGACTGAGTCTGGGTGCTGCTCGTGCCCCTGTGTCTGAACCACTGTCTTCTCATGTTTACAGTTACTTCTACAGCACCGAGGGAGTGATCGATCCTCTTTCCTAGGCATTTGAGCCATAAAGATGATGATTGATCTGGTGACCCTCCCATTCTATCTAGAGGAGGTATTTAAACCCCAGAGGCTCTCAAATGCACTAATTGATTTTATTTAAAATTCTTTGTATAGAATTACTTAGAACAAAGCCTGTCTAATGGAGTAATTTCCAGAATACTAAAATACTGATCTGAGAACTCTGACACTGCATGAAAAAATAATTGTTCTTTAATGTCTCCACATAGTAGGTCTTCCTGCAGAAAATGTGTATGTCCTCCATAAGTACAACTGCGTAAATGTAGCATAAATATTGCTTTTTTATATTGGATTTGGTGCAGAAATATAGCTTTTTTTGTCTAAATGGACTCTCTCTGCTGTGAACATTTCATCATGGTAGTTTATTGGCTCAGCTGTGGAGAAGCCGAGGCAAAGCTATTTTGCGCCAGCCCGAGCTATTTATAAACCATCACTGAGAGCGCCTTTTTATGTTACTGCTGCTCTGTGAACTAAAAGAGGGGTGTTAAAGGAAAACTTGGGATTTCTTTTTATTCTGTGCCCTTATTCCCCACAATGGTATTTTTAGAGGTTATTTCTTCCAGCTATCTCTCTTCAGGAAAGGCTTTACCTTTGTCACATTGAGTAGACAGGAGCTCAGCTGGAAGCCATTCCTTTCCTCAAGCTTTCCTTTTTGAAGGGTGAAAGGATCAGAGAGTGGAACTTTGTGTGTGAATTGAGCCTCTTTGCCCTTAGCCCCTTCCTGATCAGTGCATCTGCTTCATAGAGGGAGGAATGACCAGGAGTTTAACGAAGAGGCCTCGAAGAAAAGAGGTTAAAATACAAGCGACTGTTCCTTTGAGTTTTCTTATGCTAAAAGGAAGATCAGCCTTAGAAGTCTGTCCACTTCTGCCTTGCTTCCAAAGAAGCCCATTATCTGCCCAGCTCTCTTTATAGAAAAATACTTTGCTGACCAGGGTGGCAGACCGTCATTTATTGTTGCAAGTATCTGCTGAATCGGGCAAGTTCAGAAGAGTGTAGTAGAATGGCTGTTCTGGGGCTAGAACTTGTGAGCTGACGCTTAGAGGATAAACCATGTTCTAGAACACTAGATTGTAACAGCAGTGGTTTAACCAGAGCTAAATTTGGAAGAAGGAGTTTGTTTGTGCCCTGAAAGTGGAATTCTTGAATCTCTTGTCAATGTTTGATTTGGGGCCTGGTTATGAGACTTCAGCACCTTGAAAGCAGTGTTTTTGCCATTGAGGCAAGCATTGTTGAACACGTGTCGGTCCTTGGTGGCAGCCACAGTGGAGACCACAATATTTAGTATCAATTTTTTCAGCTGTGGGTATCTCTGTGTGTGGATGTGTATCCATGCTGTTGTCCATCTGTCCACGCATGGTTCCTTACTTTCTGAGACAGACATGGAACACCATTTTCTCCTACCCCATCACATGATGTAGCGTGTTGCACAGACATTTTCTTGGAAGTTTGATGAACTATGCACATCTGGATTCTAGTGAGGGATAGTCTGGATGTTGGGTTTCAGCCTGCGATTCAAAGCCCTTACAAAAGATAATGTGTAATATAATTGAGTTCCTTTTTCATGAAAAGTATAAGGTTTTGTGTTTATATTCTAGAAACATAGCTGACATTAGCATTCAGGTATACAGTTCTGTTTATCTGTAGTGAGAGTCTTTTAAAATTAAGTTAAATACAGCGCAAGGGACATAGAAAATCAATATTATTTCATTTCTTGAAAGTAAGATCTTTCTATACACATTTGCTTGTGCTGCTTATAAATCTCTCCTGTTACAGAAGTATTTTATAATAAATGTCAGTTATAGATTTAACGGTAGCAGAAAATAGTACAAGCTCTGTAGCACCTTCATGCATCAGGTAAAACTGCTTAGCTCAGTGTTAGTGTAGGATCGCTATACGGTATCCTGAAAGATATTTTAAAGTGTGGTGATATTAATAGGACATTAGGACCCTACTCTGTGGCCTGTGTGCAGTTCAGTATGCTGCAGTTGAGGTTCGCTTACCTCCTACAGCCTCTACACGCAGTAAAGACTCTGTAAATATTTGTTGTTGAGCATGAGCTTCATTCGAAGATAGGTTTTAAAAATTGAGTTAAACATTAACGATATATGAGACTTAGTTACCTTATGATTATCTTTATAGTAAAGATTTTTCTCCTTATGTTAGTTACAGTAAAAGCTGATTTCTGGCTAGGGGTGGAGACATGTACCTGTAATCCCAGCACTCGGAAGGGTAAGGTAGTCTAGGCTTCATGGCGAGACCAGATCTCAACAGATAACTCTGAACCTCTGACTAGCCGGTGATTGATAGAACTGATTGAAAGTACTTTATTAGTGGATTAGAAATGAACATGCACAAATTCAGTTTTCTATCAATGTTTTATGTGCATGGTTACATTTGCAGGTACCCTCTAGGTAACTTCAGGAAAAGTTAGCTCAGGTACAAATTAAGTTCTCGTTAGGGTCCACTCTATGGATATGACAGCCACAGTTTAAAATAGGAGATTATTTTAAACTGGGCTTCTGCATTGAAGTACATAAACCAAAGGACTTTGTTTCTTTAACAATAAATCAAAGACGAAGGTAGCCTTGTTGCTGGGGGACATAGGGATACATAAAGGGCAATTCTTGGCGGCTATTGAGTGTTAGACATACTGATAAAAGTTAAGATTTTATAGATAAAGAGACATTATCATCTCTTATCTATGTGGAAATAAGGGACTGTTTTTTTGTTTTTTTGTTTTTTTGTTTTTTTAATGCAGAGCATTTAAAATTAGCAACTTTGTACTTTGTAGTAGATGAAAAGACACACCCAGAACCCATGAATTCTACTTTTAGGGACTGATGCCGCGGTAAGAGATTGTGAATTTTTCTAGTTGCCATACAGTTCTTGGTATTTTTACTTCCATTTAATTCTTACATGTGCTACATTTTGAAGGAGTATTAGAATATTGATTTGAGGATAATCCAGTAAAATATACAAAATGTCCAAGAAAAGATACCTTTTTCACATAACTTTGTCCCATTTGTGAAAATGACCACAGTTGTCTTTAATGTTTCTCAGATTATGTTTAATTATAGTTTAATGAAGTTATAAATTATACAGGAAAAAATAAGTAAGCAGAAACTTTTTTTTCTATAAACATTTTGGCTACTTGTATAAAGTAGAATACTGATCTTTCAATATGAGGCAGATTTATGGGAGCTGTATATGGTAATTGTTGCTGTCGTTATCAAGTGTAGCTTGCACAAAGGGATGTATTTGGAAATACAGGCAAACATTGAATGTTAATAAATGTGCTCAGAAAAAATAATTCATTAAAAAATATTAGTTACTAGATGAATTACTGCTGAACATAGCTCTGAAAATGTAGGTGCTGTTGAAAGTAATGAATAGAAAGACATGAAAATAAGGACTGAAGAGATTCTCTTCCAGAGGACCTGGGTTCGATTCCCAGTACCCACATGGCATCTCACAACCCTCTGAAACTTCAGTTTCAGGGGCTTTCAACAGCCTCCTCTGGGCCACAGGCACCAGGCACACAGGTATACATGCAGACAAAACACCCATATTTTAAAAAATAATGNGTATAAATATATAATATATTTTATATACATTTTATTATATACTTATGACAAGAGGATGTCTTACCACATCTATCAGATAACAATAGCAATTTTTTATAAAAAGAACTAATTTAGTGATCTAATATTTTATGTTTCTGATATGTTAAGAATTGTTCTTATAAATTTAAGAATGGTGATTCGTATAACATTTTAGGTGAGAATATATTGTCAGCAAGGTAAGGCCTTTGTACCTGTAAGGAACTGGTAATTCATAAAACTGGACAGCATTCTCCCTCCTCTCTTAGTTTTTATCTGTTACCAGATAGAGTTGCTCATCTGTGGACTTTAGACCCGAAAAGCTGCTGAGAGAGCTACCTTAGGGAGAAAGCAGAAGCAGCTTTTGTGGCCTTTGAACTCAAGAAGTGTCATTTCTGCTGTTAGCCTTGGAGTCTCTTTAGAATTTATGTCTAACTGTGGATGGAGGTCAGTAAAGTAGACTCATCCAACTGCAAATGTATTTGGGTAGGTTTTCATTTTTTGCACCTTTTCAAAAGCAGAAGCAGAAGAAAATAACTTTTCAGTTTAAATAGCTGCTGACTCAGCTATACTGCTGTGTCTGTGTGGGTGACATTTTAGACTTAGAAACATTTATTACACTTTCTGCTATGGGCAAAGTAGAGTAAGTTTTAGTTTTGGTTATTGTAGTCCTTGAGATAAGAGAATTGTTCATTTTAGCTATGTGTACCTTAAACAGAATAGATTTGTGGTTGGGGATATAGCAAAGAGGTAGAGCACTTACTTAGCACACACAAGACCTCTAGTTTGACCTGGGGACACACACATGCATGCAAACACACAGGCAGTACACTTTTTAAACTTCCACTTACTATGTAACTTGCGTAGTAAGTACTTAGTATTGGAGAGATTTTCTTAGTAGTAACAGGAGGAGGTCATCTGAGAAGAACAGGAACTAATGGTGTGGAAGGACTCTGTGTAGAACAGTGCAGAGGGAGGAAGAGTTGGGCTGGTAGCGTGTGCAGAAATAGATGGCTGTTTGGGTAGAGTGCTTGCTCTTGCCAGATGTATTGTATATACTTAAATCCCAGCTACTTAGAAAGCTGAGACTGGAGAATCAGAAGTTTACCTCTAGTCTGGGCAACATTGCAATATGCTGGTCTTCCCATTAAAAGAATTCTGAAGTATCAACTCTGAAAGTTCTGCAGAGATGCGATATATTATAGCCCAAGACGAGCAGTGGGCTGGGCTGTCTTTCCCCCAGTCTGCTGTTCGCAGTGGTTCTGAATCTCACTGTATTGTGGCATAGGAGAGACATGGGAGATGGTAGATAGCATACGTTTCATACCAGTCAGGTTTTGTATTAAGGTTGAGTTGTATTTATTTGCGGTATTTTTATTTCAGGAAATGTTTGTCTATTTGTCCACCCAACTGAAGAAGTTGGCTGAGGCCTACAATGAAAGACTGCTACAGACACCTCACAACCCTATATCTTTAGGTAATGTTCTTCCTTAATAAAAGAAAGTATGCCTGAAATATCTTAGGAGGCAGTTGTCATTTATAGAAATAATGAACTTGTTTTGATTATGCTGGTATTTCTAAATCCATCCCAATATTCAGTGATAACTTAAAATGTGCTTAGCCTTTAGAAATGCTTTAATTTCTCTAAGGTAAAGCCTGTTTAGTGAAGGAATCAGAGTTAATAGTAAATATAATGAATATACAGATAGTAATTTAGGGCTTGCCTCTTATAATGAAAATCTGTTCAGTTAACAAAGCTCCAGCATCCAGCATAGCATTGTCAGTGCCTTTGCTTCTTTTCCTCAGCCTCTGCTGTCATCAATTGATCTGCTGATATAAGAACTAATGTTTCTGTTATGCAGTTCAGGGACTATTGAAGAGACTAGTGAGCTAGAGGGGTTTCCAGTGGTTAAGATGCTGCTCTTCCAGAGGATTTGAGTTTAGTTCCCAGCTCTGTCAAGGTCAGCTCACAACTGCCTTTTAACTCTAGCTCTAGGGAATCTAACATCCTCTTGTAGATGCCCCAAAACAAACACATAAATAAAAAGCATTTTTAAAAAGTCAATAATTGACTTGTATATACCTAAGTATTTAAAAGCTTCATAATTAGTTTGTGAATATATTTTATATTTCTCATCCAGTTCAGAAAAGTGAATCATGTATAACTGAAGCCATTTTGGAATGTGCATTCATGGAGAACCATATGGGTACCAACACCTAATAACAAAGCCCCTAATCTTTTGTCCACTTAGCAGGTGGTGTTGGGAATATCAGTTCTGCCATGTTTTAGTTGCCAATCCCTTTTCCCCATCTCTAAGATAGAGATAATAAATAATCTATCATGCAAGATTGCTTAGGAATGGTTGAGACCATTGTTTTAGGATTTCTATTGCTGCAATAAAAATACCATGGCCATAAAGGAAGTTGGGAAGAAAAGGATTTATTTGGCTTACACTTCTGCATTGCTGTTCATCACTAAAGGAAGTCAGGACAGGAACTCAAACAGGGTAAGATCCTGGAGGCAAGAACTGATGCAGAGACCATGGATTGGAGCTGCTTTTTGGTTGCTCAGCCCACTTTATAGAACCCAGGACCACCTGCTATGGGATGGCACCACCCACCATGGGCTGGACCCTCCTCCATTGATTCCTAAATGAGAAATGCTTTACACCTGGATCTCATGGAGACATTTCCTCAAGTAAGGCTCCTTTCTCTTTGATGACTCTAACTTGTGTCAAGTTGGCACATAAAACCAGCCAATACAACAAGGTTTGCAAAGTGTCTAGCTTGGCAAGCCAGTCTTCAATAAGTAATGGCCATGGCAGTGGTGGGAGCCAAGGACGCAGTTTACCATGAGGTCTCAGAATGACAGTTGTACATTTGTGTATGTAGGAGTTAGTCCTGCTGAGACAATATGCATACATATTGCTTAAGTCCTTCCAACTTGGTTGGATTCAGTTAGCAGCTCCATTGATCATGGTGATACGGAAATTTTGTCCATGGTTTGTGAACTTGTTTGCTTAAATTGTGCTTGTCTGATATGGAAGCAATCCTTGCTGTAATTTATCAAGTGTAGTAAAGTGCTCTTATTCTATGGAACGATGAATGAAAGTAGTTTCTTTCTCATTATTTGTCTTGGGTGTTTTTGTAATCCAAGCTTGTTGAATTACCCTTGTTTTTGTTCTCTCCTAGCTATGACACTCAGGACAGTAGATGAGCAGCATGACAAAGCTGTCCCCCAGCTTGGGTCAATGCTTTTTACCAGACACGTTTCTGGAGCCAGGTGAGGAGCTTTAAGAGACAGTTTATTTGCCTTTGTTGTCACCTCTAGGCATGATCTGTGTCTGCCCTCAGCCAGCAGGGACTTGTGTAGCTTTTTTGACCTGTTTTGGTTTCATCCTATGGTTTTACTAATGGATTTTCAAGGCTTTTGTAATCTTAATAACTTCAAAGCTCCACTTTCTGCATTTTAAGAACTTGAATGTTCAGATGGAACATTCAGGAAGGAACAGTTTATATGCATACCAACAAGTGAAAGCCTGGTGATACAAGTGCTGTCTGAGGCAAAGGTGCTGTCATTTTGACCTTGGTACCTCCTGGGTTTTGGTGCTTGGCTTTCTACTGATTCCAGTTTCTTAACTTTTCCTTCTTCAACTCTTCTTGTCCTTTTCTGTCCTGCATGGTGATTTGGTGAGATAAATATTCTTTTGTCTGACTCCTTAACCCCACCTTACACCACATAAGGGTTTCAGGTTCTATGCAATAAAAGTATGTTGACTTTTCTTTCAAAAGAAAAGTAAGTTTAATCAAGGACTTCTCTTTAGTAGTCCTTCACTGTATACTGAGCCATGCCTGAGGCTTCACTGTGGCCAAAGAACAATTAGGTAATGAACCTGTGAGACTGTTAACACCCCACCTCTGGACTCTGGTCAAACTGCAGGAAGACAGGAGTCTTGTTTGTTTTACTACCTCTCTGGATGAGGAGTTGTTACAACTGCTGCTGCTGCTCCTGCAGCTCTAGGGAGTGAACCGAGGGCCCAGGGCATGCATGGTAAGCACCTGACTATAGATACATCTCCAGCTCTCTATTTTCAGACAGGTTCTCACTAAGCTGTCCAGGTTGAACTTGAACTTACTATTTGGCCCAGTTAGGCCTAGACCTTGCAAGACTCCTGTCTTGCCAGGCCCAGCTTCTATGTAGATTTTTGTCTAAGTCTTCTTAGCTGTACTGTCGCATTATAATAGTAGACTAGAAAGAAGTCAGTTTCAAGTGGGAAAGTTGCTAAGGAAATAACTGTTTTCTAATTGTTCTAGTTATATTTCTGTTGCTGTGATTAAAACACTCTAACCAAAAGCACATTGGGAAGGAGGGTGTTTCTTTAGCTTGTATTCCAGGTCGTACTCCATCATTGAGGGGAGTCAGGGTAGCATCTCAAGCAGGAGCTGCAGTAGAAACCATTGAGGAAAGATGCTTTCTGACTTGTTCATTAACTTGTTCATTCAGCTAGCTTTCTTAAATAGTCCAGACCACCTGCCTAGGGATAATATTGCCCTCGGTGAGCTGGACCCACCTACATTAACTAGCAGTCATATTAATATCCCATCGAGAAGCCCAGAGGCCAATCTGGTTAGAGGTTCCCTCTTCTAATTGACTTTAGGTTGTGTTAGGTTAACAATAAAAACTAACCAGAACACTAAACTAAAAGAGTTATGCTTTTCCTCACCAAGTACTATCTTGGAAGCATACATGTACATGGGCGTGAAAATCAGGTATTTTACATTAGAGAAAAGCGATGGATCTTGCTCTAAGTGCTTTCTGTCACATCTCTGTGAAAGCATTTTACTCTGACTAGCAGTCTTAATCAGTTTCTGTTGCTGTGAAGAGACACTATGACTGTGACAATTCTTAGAAAGGAAGCATTTAATTTGGACTTGCCTACAGTTTCAGAGGTTTAGTCTATTTTCATCATGGCAGAGAGCATGGGGACAGGCAGGCAGAAGTAGCCAAAATTCTACATCTGATCTGTAGGCTACAGAAAGGGAGAGAGAGAGCCACTGAGTCTGGCTTGGGCTTCTGAAGCCTCGAAACTCCATCCCTAGTGACATACTTCCTCCTACAAACCATGCCTACTCCAACAAGACAACACTTCCTGATCCTTCTAAGTATTGTCACTCTGATGACAAGCATTCAAATATATGAGCCTATGGAGACCATTCTTATTCATGTCTCCACACTTGCAGAGAATAAAATGCCCGTGTTAAAGGACTTGGTTTTTATTTGTACTTTGATTAGATCTTTGTGGAGCTGGAGTCATAGGCATGTTATGAGCTAGCTGATGTGGGTGGTGCTAATGGAATTTGGATCCTCTGGGTCTTCTGCAAGAAGAATGTGAGCTCTTAACCACTGAGCCATCCCTCTGGCTCCATTTTTTTTTTTTTTTTTTTTTTTTTTTTTTTTTTTGAGCTAGTAGTGTCTAGCTATGTACTCTGATGGGCCTCTGAATCCTCCTGTCCCTTCCAGTGTTAACCACAGCTGGAGTGACAGCTTGTTCAAAGAAAAAAACAAATGTAGGTCAGTTCAGCTTTTTGTTTATTTGGTTTTTTTTTTTTTTTTTGCGACAGATTTTCTCTGTGTAACAGGCCTAGACCCAGCTGTCCTGGAACTTGTTTAAGTTGCCTTGTAGACCAGGTTGGCCTCGAACTCACAAAGAGCAGCCTGCCTCTGCCTTTTGAGTGCTGGGATTAAAAGTGTGTGTCACCAGGCCTGGCTGGTCAGTTTAGCCTTTTACTTGTGAAACTGTCTATATGCTGCATAGTTTTGATGCTTTTAAAATGGTTTTGTAAGAGGCCACTGTTTGTCTCTATGAGTGGGTTGATCTTAATTGCTCGCTTGCTTGCTTTTGTTGTTTTTTCTTTTTTGGATTTTCGAGACAAGGTTTCTGCAAAATAGCATTGACTGTCCTGAACTCACTCTGTAGACTAGGTTGGCCTCCAACTCACAGAGATCCCCTTGCCTGTGCCTCCTGAGTACTGGCTTAAAGGTAAGTGCTACCACTTCCCGGCCTATAATTGGTTTCTTACACAGTAAAAGATTAGAAATTTGCCTATGTCTAAGAATGCTGTGGAAGTCAACCTTAAAGGTGGCTTTTGCTGTCTGGTGACCTCCACCCACTGAAACAGTTACATAGGTCTTAGAGCTCACTGTGAGCAACCGTGCTGATTGCTTGATTAGAATTCTCTTTTGTTGATGGTGAGGTAACAGTAAACCAAAGCAGTTTGGCTTACACAGTTGAAGTCAGAGTCTAGATTTGACACAAAACTAAATTTCTTATTGCTTCTTGAAGAAGATGTGAAAATGGTGGGATTCCTTAAGGTTCCTGTTCTCTGTTATAGAAGGTGAGTAAATGGTCGTCGCTAGGCAGGACTCTTTAATTGTATTTTACAATTTCATTTTAAGCAGTTTGTTTGCAGAGGTCATGATTTATGCCGTTTCTCAGCGTCTTAGCCTGTGGTTATGTGACTAGTGAGACAGGTGCCTTGTTTCTGGGCGGCATCTATTAGCATCATCAGGCTGATGAATCTTTTCCCTTTCAGGGCTGTGCCTCTTGGGTCTGTGCAAACTGTGAGTGGCCACACTTTTCAAGGCTTCATGTCCCATACAGATAATTACCCTTGTGCTTACCTCAATGCGGCGGCAGCCATCGGGATGAAGATGCAGGATGTGGACTTGTTCATAAAGAGACTTGAGAAGTGCTTAAACACCTTAAGAAGAGAACAAAATAGAGCAAGTGCTGTGTCTGTAGCTGACGACAGTAACAGAGCTGGAGATGTGGACATTGAGGAAATGGCTTTGAAACTCGATAGTGTGCTTGGTGACAAGGACCAACTTTCATGACACAGGTTTCTTTTTGCTACGGTTCATACAAGCACTTTAAAGGATATATTTAAAGTTTTGAATTGAGAATTTTATAGAGAATGTTCTGTCAAGGAAGAGACTGGTCTGAGGGTAGCTGTTGGTGATTGCTGTTTTTTTATCCTTAGAATACCTCAGTCCTTATCATTCTTCACAGGTTATAACATGCAGTCACAACGAACATTATCTGATTGTTATATTAGTTAAACAACACAATTCAGATGATTCTTACTAATATAAACTGTAAAGTTACATGTAATTCTTATTGAAATACAGAGTGCTTCTTCTTAGTTGTTCTCCGGCATTCAAAGATGTTTTTTCTTTTTTGTTTCTGATCACACAGAATTGAGAAAGATGTTCCCAGTGTTGCTAAATACTAGGTGCTTGTTTAGCTGTCTGTGCCTGTAAGAGGGAGTCCTTAAGGGAGCAGAGGCAAGACATAGTTTAATGTAAACCTAAGGGCAGTTTTCTCAACTAGACTGTCTTGATTATATAAGCAACATATATAAGACCCAAAGTGGGTGTTAGTGACATTAAATGGTAGAAGCCGGTGGTTCTGCTCAATGTCTGTCTTACTGTCCAGCACATGGTTTCCACAAGAGAATTCTCCAGATGTCAGTAGTGATATGAGTCATGGAAGCGAGCCCCTCAGTAAAGTCGCTTTGTGTGGCAGCTTGCTCCTGCGCTGCCTGATGGCATTGCTGTTCGTGGTGGGCTGCATGGAAGTCAGTGGTCCCATGAGGTACAACACCTAGTGATGAGATGGCTCTCTTGGTTTGTTAGTTATGAGTCATACTGTTCACATACATATAAAATCAGCAAATTATACATTTTTAGACCATATCAGTGACATGTAACTGCATATCAAAAAGGACAGCTCTGTGATTGTTACCAAGTTTACTGCATAGAAACTCTTAACAGCCAGCACCGTTTGTTCTAAACAAGTTGCTATAAATGGTTTTTTATAAGTCTGCTCATTTTTCCATTTGGACAACTGAAAACTATTCCCCATACTGTCTTGGCTTTAAGCGGCCTTTGTGAATTGACTAGTTCACTCAGGTGTTGTGCACAGCCGCCATCAGGACTGTCAAAATTATACAGTACTGCAAATGTATGTTTTATATAGGCAGAAAGAATATTTAGGTTTGTAGTACTATGTGTGTGTGTGTGTGTGTATGGCTCAATGGCTCTAACAGTGATTTTTGTTAATTTAAACAAAAAACAGACTGGGGAATTAGACCACCATGCCAAAGCTATATTCTCAGACCTGCTCTGTGGAGTGTCATTCTACCCAAGACATACTCATGGGGAAAAGGGTCTATGGAGAAATAATTTGGGAAAATGGCTTTGTAAATTTGCTCATAGTGTATTAAATGCTGTAAGAGGATTCCTTTAGTAAAGGGTGACCTGCTTTTCTAAACAGGAGCCAGTTCTCCGAAGTGAAACAAACACTCATAATGTCTCCTCAAACATACTCTTCCAACACAATGGGCCAAATGTGTTGGCCTCTGGATTCTGTTGCTTGTATTAGTTGGCACTGAGCTGTGTATGAAAAGGGGTCGTTCATAGAGGGTTTATAAAGTTGAGTTCAGCCAGATGCTGATTGTGTAAGTTGGGCTATGTAAGCCACTGATATCCATGGAAGTGAAGGTTTGCTGGCTGGAGATAACTCCCTTGAAGATATCTAGGTGGTTCCTAAATACATTCTGTACTCAGTGGACCAGACACTGAAATGGCTCATGAGTAGCTACAGTAACTCGTTACATGGGAGTAATCCTGGACTGAAAAGGCGTGTGCTGTTTTCTTGCTGGATTCAGGACTGCCCTGTAGACCTGATGAAGCTACAGAAGCCCAGTCTCCATGGAGCCCAGGAGGGTCAGATGCTGCTGCCAATGGAAATGCTGGCAGTGCAGCTTCCTATGCATCAGGCCGAAATGATTTTCTAGAACAAGTGATCTATATTGTGTGATCATCATTTTGCTTAAGAAAGGCCAGAGTCCAGAGACTGAAGATGCTTCCTCATCTGCCGAGTATCAGCAGTTCTTGGGCTTCAGCTGCTGAATGGATAATAATTCTAATTGAAGATAAATTACATGAGCCCACATGTGAAAGATAGCTATGGTATAACATTTATTCCTGGCACATAAAATCTCTTGCAGTTTTGGTTATTAACCCTTTCCCTTTTAAGTGGTTTTCAATTCCAGTTCTTCCTCCTGGCTCCAACTTTGACCCTAAGGTTGCTCAGTTGTTTTTTTTTTTTTTTTTTTTTAAAAGAATAAAATATTTCTTTGTCATAGGCTTTTCTTTTTCCTCAGCCTTTACCTAGCTCCCTCATGTTCACATATATGTGTTTATAGAACTATACCCAAGTGTCTGCTGTGAAGCACTTACTGCTTGGATGCTTTTCTGCTCGCAGACTGTGGCAGTGGAGAACATTCCAGGCACTGCCTGAGACACTACTACTGTCTTCCTGGCCCAACTCCTCTTATGACTAAGGCTGTAAGGTAGATTTTGGAGGTTGGTTTTTAAAGTCAATGGGCTGGAGTAGTCTGCTTAGAGAAGAAAGCTGAATCCTGGAATGTTTGATCACTAATGCAGCCTACACACACTGCTGTTGCGTTCTCACGGTCGGGAAGACATGACAGCAGCCTTGTAATCCAATGTTAACTGTGAGCTTCCTATTGGCTTATGGTAGTAGTTGAACTGAGTTACACAAGATGAGCTATGTAATCCAGCTCTGTTCCACCAGTGGGCCCTTGATGTACAAATGGTAAATTTAAATATGATTTAAATTAATTTTTTTTCTACTGCCTTGTCCCAGCACATTGAATTGAATAATGACTCCATTTCTTTAACCACAGGACAGGAAGAACTGTCATTGAGGTTGTAGCTATAGAATATGTCTGTGCCAATGGATTCCATAGATCTTAGTGGGACTTATGAAAATGTACTCACATTTTAAACTGGCGATAATATTGAATTAGTGACTTCATCCTGACAAGCTCAATTTTATATCTTTTTACTGAAGTAGGTGACCAACAATTGAAAACAGCCATGAAAAACATTGATGAATCCCATTCATATTGTTCTCAGAGAAAAGTTTTACATATATACACATTTGGTACTTATAAAAATTGGATTTGCTTTGCCTAGAAATCTAAGATGCACTAATTTCTGCCAAACCAGAAATGGTTTTGTGTTATACATTGATGAGACTGACCTTACTTATATGGAGTTAAAAATTTCCAATTTTATACACACAGAAGTTGGTTAATTTCAGAAATTTCCTAATCTCTGAATAATTTGCTAAGAACCAATTGGCTACACTAATAGCAGAAGTGTGTGTGTGTGTTTGTGCATCTGTGTATGCATGCATGTGTATCTGTGTGTGATTGTATGTGCGTGTATACATGCGTGTGCACGTGTGTGTGTGTGTGTGTGTGTGTGTATACGTGTGTACTGGGGGTCATCCAGACAGGTGCATGGTGCTTTCTTGTCTGTCTGTTGGTTCTACTCTTTGGATAGTCTTAGTGCTCAGATCTGGCTTGCTGCCTCCTTTAGTAAATTGCCTTACATATTACTTTCATTTTGGCCTCATGGTTGTTCTATGTGACACAAGATGATAATTTTATAGTGATTGAATACATCTTTGTAATTTACCTGCTAATAGTCGACAGTTCAAGCTAAGGCCTTGGACAAAGCCAGATTGTGTTTATACCATCTTTTTTTTTTTTTTCTTTTGGAGAAAGGTGAAGGAAGGCTGACTTTAGCTGTGTAACTGTGGGGATTGGAGCTATGAGTCTTTGATGCAGACCTGTACCAAAAGGGAGAAACACTTCCAAAAATATTTTTTGCTATAGACTCTTTAAAAATAAATTGTATAATTTATTACATGAAATAAACTTTTAATAAATCACTGACGGTACCTTATTTCACTGAAGCATTGCTAAGATAAATCTGAAAGTACAAATAACTATACTCAATTCTTACCCTCTTTCTTAATTCCGTCATCAGTATCAGCTTGTCCAGGAAGTCAGCAAGAAAAGTATGGCTTGGGATGGGACTCATGTGTCATAGCTATTGACTGTAGAAGGTTGGCACTTAAGAGTATTTAATCAAGGGCCAACAAGATGGCACTTGCCACCCAGCCTTCCAACTCTAGTGACCCACATGATGGAAAGAAAGAACAGACTCCTGCAAGTTGTCTTGACCACATACACACCATGTGCATGTTCACATGCAAAATAAAAGCTAATACATTTTAAGGAATAATTTATTCGAAAGTAAGAGATCCTATCAACTTCAGATTGTTGACCTGTGCTTTTTAAAATTAGGCACTTGCCATTAATTGGGAGTTTGAGTCTGTTACTTCCCATGAACTCACAATATAATGTCTCCAAGTCTTGGTCACCAGATGTAGAATGCAGACCACCCTAAAGACTGAGGAGCAAGTGGATAATAAATGCAAATAGTGTTAATAAATGTTTTAAGGCCCAAAGCAGCATGAACTGTAAGTACTGACATTCTGCATGGAGCTCTATTGTATTGAATTGTGCTAGATTTACATGAAAATGTGTCCTGAGGTGGGTTGTTGGAGATTTTTTTTTTTTTTACCCAATCTCAAGTGGGAAGTCCAAAAACTGATTTGATTTTATGACCTTTTTTTTTATTTTCAGGGTTGTCTTATTTTGGTTTTTAATGAGTTTTATTTGGTTTTACAGTTACATTTGAAAACTTAAAAAAAAATTAAGGTGTACTGACTATTTTTTTGCAGCTGAAGTTACGTATTATAACCTAGGGGAGTCGTTGAGAGCAAGCTCATGTCACAGTGACTTCTGCAGAGATGTGGTTTGGTGGAGGCAGCAGGCTTACCAGCATGACTTGTGCAGTACCGACAGCCTGTTTCTATATGACTTCACGTGGAACAGTTGGTCATGGTTCCTACATTTAGGCCTGGAACAGGCCTTTCTGCACCCACCTCTAGTATATATCTTTTGGATACATAGTAGTTCTTTAAGGCAATTCTTAGATTTTTCCTGAAAATGTGCTCACCCTCAGCCTTCCCACCTCAGTTATTCACACTCCTTCCCACTGGGAGCTAACCTTGACTCTCACATTCTGTATTTACAGAGTTATGTGAAGCTGGGCAGTATCGTACATTCTTACAATCCTGGCAATCAGAGACTGAGACAGGAGGATTGTGAGTTCAAGACTGCCCTGGGCAACAAGTGATGTGACTCTTGCCAGTCAGTCAAATAAATATGTAATAGTCATATTGTACCTACTTTAAAAAATTCCCCTGGATCAAGCCTGTGTCCTCCCCTGTAATGGGTTTGGACTGTCTCACCTCACTCATGTTATAGGACCTCCTTCCTGTTTCCTAAGGGCCTCTTCCTTGACTCTGCTCTCCAGTCTTCCCAGCACAGCAGCCGTGGGACCCGGGAGCAGCATACTATGTCCCTCAGCTCGGGCTTTTCTAACATTTCCCTGTGTCGTTCGGAGAGTAAGCAGTGTGCACTGTCCACAGAGGCCTTACCACATCTGCCATCTCCAGCCCCTCCATCTTTCTTACTCTCTTCTCCTTTGTCCTTTCCACTCACTCTCCAGTCAAACGTGGTCAGCTTGCTATTCAAACTCCCAGAACACCTTACCTCTGAGCTTTGTCCCCGGCTCCTCTCTCTGCCTGGAAATGTCAACCCAGGCTCCTGGTTAACTCACTTTCCTTCTGTTTGATTAAATCCACTTCTCAGAGAGGTCTGTTCACATGACCTTTTAAGAGTGATAGCTGTCTTCTCTCTCTGTCTTCAAGTGTGGATTCTGTATTGGTGTCCTGTGTACAGCAGATTATAATTCAGTAGGGGCTTGTGCTGTGTGTAACACAAACCTCTGTGTCGCTGTCTGAGTGGTCCTAGCCTCATGCAGTTGGTCGTGCCTCATGCCGAGCAGCATGTAATTTACAGGTTTGTTAAAGCGTGTTTCCTCTATGCCCCTGGCTAGGCCATCAGCCCTCCCAGAACAGCCTTCTCTTCACTCATATTCTAAGCAGCAGCTGCCACATAACACTCAGCTATTTATTGTATGAAAGATTGAAGAAGGATTAAATATTTATGCAGCTGTGAATCCCATCATGTCTGATTGAAACTATCCAATAGTTCCATCTCTAATACATTCCAGAATCTTTCCTTGAGGTTCAGATGCAGGGGTCCTGCTCAGCTCTCTTTGTGCAAGGGGAGCCTTACACCCTCTCCCCGCCAATGCAAGGAATGGCCCCACCTGACAGCCTCCTTGCTGTTACAAGGTCGGCTTTAAACCATCAAATCAAAAAAGTCACAGTCACTGGCCAGTGTCTGAACATGGCAGTGCCACAAGGCTACCCACTGCTGTGCCTCCTCTAAGAGGCAGCAGACTTTGCCTGGGGACTTCCACCTGGCTGACAAGACCATGTCGGTCTAATGATGCCTCTGCTTTGGCCTGCGCTCGCCTCTCTCTCTCTCTCTCTCTCTCTCTCTCTCTCTCTCTCTCTCTCTCTCTCTCTCTCTCTCTCTGACAGGTGCTTCCCAGTAAACCTTTTTAAAGGCGTGGCTGCCTTATCTGTGCACAGGGTCTGACCTTCAGTCCTGTGGGCTCCATTCCCTGCCCACCTTTCTTTTTTCTTTCTTGCCCTTCTTTGCACTAAACCAACCCTAGGGCACGCCACTTACAGAATTCAAATAGTGCTAATCTATATAGTTCTTCAGCTGAATGAATCTCATTTGGTAGCCCTTGCAGATATGACAATGTTTTTGTTTCGTGTTTGTGTGAAGGGGGTCCACTAAATTGTGTGCATGTGTGCAGGTCAGAGATTGACTTTGGATATCTTTCCCCATCACGCCTATATTTTGAGGCAGGGTCTCACTGAATCTGTAACTTGCTATTTTGACTAGACGGGTTGGCCAGCTAGTCCTTGGTATCCTCGCCTATCCTCCTCCCTCAGAGCTGCCATGCCTGGCTTTTATGTGGATTCTGGGGATCTGAACTAAGGTCGTCATGCTTGCACAGCAGCCACATTCCCCACTGAGCCTCCTTCCAGCCCCTACAGACTGGCTTCATCTTGTAAGTTATGGCTTTAAAGCCCCAATTGTTCTTTTAAAACTTATGTTGTCAAGTCTTCAGATTTTGCACACTTTTGATAAAGTGACCCATAGAGCCTGGATGAAAGGTAAAGCATCCGATGACTACCCTCCAGAAAGGCTTTCCGTCATGGTCAGACACCTTGAGCCTAACC